AAAAAAAAAAAAAAAAAGTAAAATAACATTTGTTCGTATCTGTTACAGTTGGTGCTACGATTGTTCGATTGTTTTGAACATTGAATTGTCGAAGTGACTTTATTCTTAACTTGAACCGTTAAATTTCGTCCATGAATGGTTGCGTAAAATTACTAGGAGAATAATTACTAGGATCGACGATCCGGCAATGGATGCATTGCTGGTCTAGGAAATTAGGAAACTTTCCAAGTTTTTGAGGGCAATCTTCGAATTGACATGCAAGAACTTTGTCGATTATCACAAATCATTATTTGGCCTAACGTTTATTTTATTTTATTGCATCTTGAGCGATATATATTGAAAATTATAAATATTACTGATTTCTCATCGATTCCCTAGAATATGTAACGAACCAACGATTTCATCAAAAACAAAAAAATCAAAGAATTAAAATATATACAATATTCTATATTTTTATTATAAATTCGTCAAAGATCCAGTTTGCAAAATTATTATTTCGAATTCGAAATCTAAAATAACGTAACGATATATTTATGCGAGTATGTAAATTCAATAAAAATCTAGTTCGAGATATCGAAGAACGTGTTACGAATCTTGTTATTTCGAAAGCATCATAGTTCCAATTATTGTCGCTAGACGGCGGTACCAACGCTTGAACAAACAATTCACCGGAGAAACGAAGGAAGCGAAAAGACGAGGAGAAATGGTGGTACGAACTCGTCTCCCTGAACTAAAGGGTAACCGTGTTCACCAGAGTGAAAGTGGCGCGCTCGTTTCGTTGAGAGTAATTCAGTGACGGCAATGTCTCGGTTCAACCCCTTCGAGACGCCTCGCGATATTGGGTCGCCTTACGCTGACAGACAAATCGCGCACAAAGCAAGGTCGGGTTGGAATAACAAATGCCGCGTGAAAAAGAAAATATTGGAGACGTTGTTTTATTTAGAGATTTATACGCGCCCTGTTGAGCGTGCAAAGAATATGGATGCAATCAAAATGCATATAGCGTCATTTAAATTTCTTTTGAAACGTTGCCACATATATATATATATGTATATGTTTTGTGTATTTCCTTATATATTATATTCTAATTTTTATTGTAATTTTTTTTTTGTAATTAGGTTTGAATGTTATTAAATATTTAAAAGAATATCGTGAATAGTTAACGCAGAGATGGATCGTTTGATCTTAGAGTCCCTAGGATAAATAAAAATAGAAATAAAGTTACTAGAGTCCTATTGATATTTCTAGAATGCAAGATATTAAATATATTCAAATTGAGTTTCTTTTTAATATGTTGTCATACAATAAATATGTATCTTACATATATTCTATATTAATTTTTATTGCAATTTTTGTATTAGGTTTGAATGTTATTAAATATTTAAAAGAATATCGTGAATAGTTAACGCAGAGATGGATTGTTTATTCTTAGAGTCCCTAGGATAAATAAAATTATTAGGGTCCTATTGATATTTCTAGAATTCAAGATATTAAATATATTCAAATTGAATTTCTTTTTAATATATTGTCATACAACAAATATGTATCTTACATATATTCTATACTAATTTTTAATGCAATTTCTGTATTAGATTTGAATATCCTTAAATTTTTAAAAAAATCTTGATAGTTAATATAGAGATGAATTATCGATTTTTAGGATCTTATGGATCTTTCTAAAAAAGGATCTTTAAGATTTTAGATATACTCAAATTAAATTAGATAATTTAATAAATGTTCTATGGATATATTAATTCTTAACTCTTCCCTAAAATCTATCTAGATTTTTTTTAAATTCATAATAAAATATTTAAAATTAATAAAAGAAGAAAATAAAAATTTTTACACGTACAATAAACTAAATTCATCTTTCGAATATTATAAACAATTTAAATTTAAAAATATCTAATCCTAAAATAACTATATCCGTAACAATTCGTATTCATTATCAAGAATTTCTACGTTTCTTCTCTCTCCATAAATAAAGTCAATTTCAAATCGACGTTCATCATTCGAATCAGAAGCATGTGTTAACATAGTTCGAGTATTTATTATTCGCGAGGGGAAAAGAAGAAAAGAAAAAAAGCTTACCAAAACTTATCGAAACTGAATAAACAAAAGAAAAAAAGAAAAAAGAAAAAGAAAAAGCGACCGATTCGAGACCCGATCATCGGAGGAATGTGGAGGGGGAAAAAAAATTGCTAACCATGGTTTAAATTTACTTGGAACCGTGCTCGAATTAGAGATCTCTAAAATTAAAGGAGGCAGGGAAGAGTGTGGAGTGCAGTGGGTAGGTTGAGTGGGTGACGTGCCGTTGAAAGCCGGAATAAATCACTGGATACGCCACAACCGTATTGTTGTTCCTTCTTTTTCATTTTCCCCCGTTTCATCTCTCCGCTTCATCCCTTAATCCCGCGGCATTGTTTATCTTTATTTTTTCTCTCTTTCTCTCTCTCTCTCTTCGTCTTCCCCCTCTCACCCTCTCTCTTTTTCTTTTTTCTCAACTTGAATATAATATCTGACAAGAGAATTTTAAAAACGGTTTTAATCAACTTTTACCGAAGTCAGTCGTCTTTTTTCTTTTCTCTCTCTCTCTTTTTGATATGTATGAAGGATAAAGAAGCGAGAAAAAGTGGATAACGAAAACTTTGCCTGTTTTCGCAAATATTGGCGATAGAAGTTAGTTTTCCCAAGTTGTCTAACTCTCTGAGGAGGGAAATATCTTGAGGGATGTTGGTCTTTGAAGAAAAAGAGAGCTCGGACGTTAATTAATATTCGAAACCGTTTTCCTTGCCGCAAAGCCTTTGGCTATTTCAACCAGGCTTGGCCAACTTATAATTATACGAAGACGGGACCGACGGCCTTTTTGAAACAGGATCGAGTTTGAACAGGAATTGAATCGAAAAGTGGCAATGTATTTGGAGGAAAGATAAAGATTTTAAAGATGTTGATCATCGTGACAGGTTTTTTCGATCGATCTTAAAAACTTAATCCTTCGTGCTCCACGTCTTTTTCGAACCAACAACACGATTTCTCGCTCAATGAATTTCTTAAAACGAGTTAATTTAAAACGATTTCACGTTCGAATTGATGTACTTTTGTATTTTAATATTTTGTAATGAAAGTATCTTATAATGAAAGATTTGTCGAGTATTAAAGTTTAGATTGTCGTTTTGCGCGATATTTTAATAATAAAGCAATTACCAAGATGCATCGCAAACCTTACAATCCCAATAATTCTATTTTATTTCTCTTTATCGTCTCTTAACGAATGGAAATAATTTCGTTATTTAATAAGGAAAAACTCGTCTTGAACTAATATTCCAATAATGTATCTTCTACATTCTTCTATTATTCTTATTTTCCACCTTCTCTTATTTATTCGCGTCTCTTTCGTCAATTTCTTAATGGGAATAATTTCGTTATTTAATAACGAAAAATTCGTCTTGAACTAATATTCCAATAATCTCACATTCACTGTCTATTATTCTTATTTTTCATCTTCTTTTATTTACTCACGTCTCTATTTTCCTTCTCTCTTTCGTCAATTTCTTAATGGGAACAATTTCGTTGTTTAATAATGAAAAACTCGTCTTGAACTAATATTCCAATAACATATCCTCACATTTTATTATTCTTATTTTTCACCTTCTCTTATTTATTCACGTCTCTATTTTCCTTCTCTCTTTCGTCAATTTCTTAATGGGAACAATTTCGTTGTTTAATAATGAAAAACTCATCTTGAACTAATATTCCAATAATATATCTTCTATATTCTTCTATTATTCTTATTTTTCACCTTCTCTTATTTATTCACGTCTCTATTTTCCTTCTCTCTTTCGTCAATTTCTTAATGGGAATAATTTCGTTATTTAATAACGAAAAACTCGTCTTGAATTAATATTCCAATAATCTCACATTCACTGTCTATTATTCTTATTTTTCATCTTCTTATACCACGTCTCTATTTTCATCATCTCTATTTTTCTTTTCTCTTTCGTCAATTTCTTAATGAATT